CAACCGTTCAAAAACTGAGCTCATGATATTTCCTCCCGCCCGTGCACCTTCCCCCAACTTTTCTCTTGAGGTTGTTAACACAACTATCCAACCCTCCCCCATGCCAAGGTACTAGGTGTCATCCTTGACTCGGACATCTCCTTTCTTCCCCACATCCAATCACTATTCAAATCCTGCCGCCTTCCCCTTCGTAACATCTCCAAAATACGCCCCTTCCTCACCAACGAAACCACAAAATTACTCACCCACTCACTTCTTATATCTCGTCTTGACTATTGCAACTCCCTCCTCATTGGCCTACCACTAGACATAGGCTATCCCCCTTCAGTCTATCATGAATGCAGCTGCTAAACTCATTCACCTAACCAACCGCTCAGTGTCTGCAACCCCCCTCTGCCAATCCCTTACCTGGCTTCCAATAGCCCAAAGGATACAATTCTAAATATTAACAATCACTTACAAAGCCATCCACAACTCTGCCCCTGGCTATATCTCAAACCTTGTCTCAAAATATCATCCTAACCGCCCTCTCCGCTCTTCAAAAGACCTGCTTTTCAGCTCCCTCATCAACTCTTCGCATGCTCGCCTCCAGGACTTCACTAGAGTCTCTCCCATCCTATGGAACTCTTTACCCCAACTGGTCCATCTATCTCCCGCTCTGGCTGCCTTTAGACAATCCCTTAAGACTCATCTCTTCAGGGAAGCCTCAACCTAACCACTGAACTATCACTTTCTCAAACAATTCATCCCCACACAGCTACCTGCTCATGTATCAATTGCCCCTCCTTTTTGATTGTAAGCCCTCACAGTAGGGCCCTCTTTACTTTCTTGTCCTGAATTGTATTGTGATTGTAATGTCTTCCTTATATTGTAAAGCGCTGCGCAAACTGTTGGCGCTATATAAATCCTATATAATAATAATAACTTGTTTCTGAACCAGTTGTTTGTGTTTACATATTTAAAGTTTTTTGAGAAAAGTCTATGATCTATGTGTGCTGTTTTTGTGGGTTTTTTTGTGTTGGGGAGGCGAGAGAAATTTCAGGTGGGGTGGGGGGCAAGAAAATGTTTGCCCAGGGTCCAATCAGTATTAAAGACGGGCCTGCTTCAAAGATTAGTGTATCAGCATATTTGTTTTGTGTAAGGCCATTTGTGAACAAGGGTTGCCCTAGTAATTGTATGAACCACCAGTCATTTTTATACGTTATGTTACCTGGTATGTTCCTCTTACAGCCCTGTCTGATAAATTGTTTTCACTTTGCAATATTGGAAGCTTTCTATTGGCTTTCAATAAAAGCAATCTCCTACCCATAGTTTAAACTGTTTCCCAATATTAATTCAAACATTTCAAGTTGTGATTTATTTCACTGTAGAGCATGACGAAATACATTTCTTATTGATTGTAGATCCAATATTTAGCACTTGCTTGGAGATTGCCATCAATGAACTCAATAGCTGAAACATCAGCAAGGCAACCTAGGCAGGAGCCTAGGGTCTGGTGGATGACCAGGGATTCAAGTTACACCTTCAGGCTTCTGCATTAAACAAGGAAAAAATTGGAACTGGACAAAGCTGTGCACTTGCCTCTAACTTCACAGGAGAGAATGCACCTTTAGGCAGTTGGTGTCTAATAGGGTCATGTCAGGGCAAAATGTATGCCTCTGACCCATTGAAATCTTTGTCAAAGTCAACAGATGAGTGGGTCAAAGCTACCACCTTGTCTAGAGCTCTATTCTGCCTTAATCCATTTCTGCTGAAGGAAACCTTTCCTATCTTAAGCTGTATAATTCAAACAGCCGTGCCTAACATAGCCAAACAACATGCAGCCGACCCTCCAAATTAAATCATTTGAAATTAGAACCAACATGTGAGTTCTGCCCATTTAGACCACAAAGACTAAAATAAGTTGAAGACCCTGTCCTGTTATTGCCATCAAATTAGAACAGCCGTTTTCAACAAGGATACCTCCAGAGGTTGTTGAGCAATTAACAATTTTACGCTGTCAGATAGGTAACCATGGATTGAAATGATCTTTTTAGTTAAAGTATCTGTAAGGGATCTTTCTTCCCAATGACCAATACTATAAAGAGCATTCTTCCCATTATCTGTAAAAAGTAAGTCAAGGCAACTGGACTTGCTGTATTTTTCTTGAAGACGTTTCACTGTCATCCAACCAGCTTTCTCATTCAGTGAAACGTCTTCAAGAAAAATACAGCAAGTCCAGTTGCCTTGACTTACTTTTTACAGATATGCCATGACCTGGATGAATGAGAACCTTCACAGACATTCTTCCCATTGACCACCAGTGGTGGGTGGCACCTTCTGCAAATGACCACCAACCTAACAGGGCCCTTCTCCACTGGCCAATTGGTTGCTATGACACAGGTGACTGCTGCTTCCTAGCATCCTTGATTGCTAGGATACAGGTTGCCATTGCTACATTGTCCTTGGCCGCTAGCGCATAGGTATCCTTTGTTGCTCGGATAAAAATGGCCATTGCCACCTAGCATCCACCATTGCTAAAATGCAGGGGGCTATTACAAGTACAGGGTTATTGCAATCTATTGGTTGCTACAACACAGGCATCTCCTGACACCAACAGGGTTATTCACAAAAGGATGAAGGGTTTGGAGAAGGTAGGAGAATAGAACAATCTAAGCCAACATAGTTGAACTGGAAAGTGAGCTGAATTGGATAATTTTTCCAAATCAACTATGTTGTCCTAGATTGTTTACTTCTCCAACCTTCTCCAAACTCTTCACCCTTTTGTGAATAACCCTACTACAGTTCTTGGGTGCTCAGACCCAAGTGTCTCTTACCGCCTAGCATGCTTCATTGCTAGGACACAGGCAGGGGCGTCCCGATGCTGGGTGACACCCGGAACTGAGACTGGGTGACACACCACTGTGACATCACCACGCATGCGTGTGATGTTGCCGCTCGGTGATGACATCATCACGCATGCGCGGTCAACTTATTGACGCCTGCTGGTGGCCAACTTGGTGATGGACGCCAGCAGAGAGAGGAGGGGACGTTCACCTGGCGGGATGAGGTATGCTGCCGGGTCCCCTCCTCTCTCCTGACAGTTGGGCTCTCGGTCTGTGACCGAGTGCCTGACTTTTCATAGGGGGTACTGTCAGTCATTTTGGCGTCACCCCTCCAATGGTGGCACCCAGGTGTGGGCCACGCCCCCCTTGTGACGCCACTGGACACAGGCAGCCATTGCCGCCTTGCATACTTTCTGGCTAGGATGCAGACGGCCATTGCTGCCTAGCTTTCTTCATTGCTAAGACGCAGGTGGCTCGCAGGTGTACTCAAATAAAGTACATTTGTTCTGTACGCATGTAAACGTTACAGTGTGAAATAAGGTCCATACACTGGACCTCGGATGACAATTTTTCTGTTTTTTTTTTACGCAGTCGAACGCAGCTCCACATTACAGATAGGCCCATAGAATTTAAAATCATTGTTAAAATTTTTTTACAAATTATGATACTGAACGCAGTGTACTTTGCACCAGTGTGCATAAGTCCACATGCTAATTATTTACAAGAGTTCCATGAGTCCTGAAAGTTATTTCAAGGGTTCCTCCATGTTTAAAAGACTGTATTAGAACGTTTGAATGAATGTAGGTAACTCTTCAACCGGCCATTCCTTCCTAAACACTACCCTGCAAACTAAAACATCCTCGCTGCTCTAAGTACGACAACGGAATGACGTGTGCTCCTACGAGAGAGGCTCACTGAGCAAACTTCAGCGCCCACCACTAACTCACACCTTCTACTAATTACTAACTACAGACCGGCTCATGCGCGTCACGTGACAGCCCTACCTGAGGCACGCCCCTCCTTCCGCCCAGTTGCCAATCGTGTTCGCCGCTCACATCCGGGCCACGCTGCTCCTCCTGCTCCGGTACTCGGCGGCTGGAGGTAACCGGGTACAGGGTGTGGCACGACCGGGGCTAGCTCCGCCCGGAGGGACCCTGCGGGGAGGGCGCAACGGTTGAAATGCCGAGATATTGCAGCGGAAGTTTGCGCCGCATTGAATGTAGGGCAGTTGGTCGTGTGGGCATAGCGGTTTGCGGAGGGTAATATGTGGGTGAGCCCGGCGAGGGTGCATGAGAGAGAGTGGTAGGCATCCTATGTACACGTCATTAGTTCTGTGTAGGAAGCCTTAATGGCAGAGTGAAAAGTCTTGCCTGAATAAAATATTGGAATGCCGATGCTGCTACTGTGACGTTATCCTTGCCACCACATTGGTAACAGTGACTCCGACTACAACCCCCATCCACCTCCCAAGTAAAAGAACCAACGTTGACTTTGAGCATAGTGACGAATGACCCCTATGGCAAGAAATGAGCAAAGATGAATGAAGCTGAAACTGAAAACAAAGCACAATCTGCTAGTTACAAGACAGATCCGTGTTATTTTCTTCCCAGAACAGTAAAAAAAAAAGTGCACCGGAGACCCCGAGAATGCCCTTACCCTGCTTTCATTGATCTAATAAACATTTGTCCCTATGTAGTTTGTACGGTAGAAGGCGGCCGAATGATCGGCCATAGATCAAACGGCCAAAGTTTAATCTAGGAATAGAAAATGCAGCATTGTATCCAGTAACATGCAAGCAGCACTTCTCATTTTGTATAATTCTGTATTTTTGTATCCTATATATGTCTATAAGAATCAGATCCTCTGTGTGCATTATAATCCGTTCCGTTTTGTATCCATTTTTTTCAGCTAGTTACTGTAACAAATTAACCAAAATGGAATGCGTGCTGCCAGAAATAGAAAGAGTTGGTATTCGCGGAATTTTGTCTGAGTATGACACAGTATCATACCTGAATTTGTTCCGATTATTTTGCATTAAGTGCCAGAGGCTAGTAGTTCATCAGACTTTCATCTAAGATGTCTATTGATTGCATGGAATTTGTGCAACAATAAAAGCAAGCTTCGAAAATGATTCTTTGAGTAAAAAATGTCCTTATTCCGTGTGCTTTTAGGGACATCCGCTGGTTATATGCGGTACTGCGTTCTCAGCTGCTATTTCGCTTGGAAACTCAGCCTGATTTCTAGTCTTCGGGGGTCCACTGAATAAAGGGGTTCAGAATAGCTGTGATCCTGGCGCAGGAGGAGCAAGAACCATCCTGGGCCACTGGAGATGTAGAGGTAAGAGACCCGAAATTAGATCAGACTAAAACTGAACTCCAGGCAGATAGAAATGACGTACGTTAATATGTTCAGTAATGCATCTTTATAGAAGAACTCCAGGCAAAACCTTTAGTAACCCCCCACCCTGCAAGGGTTAACTGCTCGTTTTTGTCTAGGCGCTAAAAAAGTTATACTCACCCAAACCTCTGAGCCAGCTTCCTGCATCTCCGGTCTCCTACACTGCAGCATTAGAATATTCCTCAGCGTCCTCACATCTATACACTGGGGGGAATTTATCAAAACTGGAGCAGCTGTGCATGGCAACCAATCAGCTTCTCTGTTTAATTTTCAAATCTTAACTGACCAAACTGAAGATAGAAGCTGGTTGCCAGTTACAGTTTTTGTCTGCTCCAGTTTTGATAAATTCCCCTCATAGTATAGAACGTGATGATTTATGGGACCTTAGACCACTGCACAGGAGGGGGGGAGAGATGCTGGGAGGACCGGTCTAAGAACAAGCCGGTTATGCGGTTCAGGTGAGTATAACTTTTTTTCTTTTCTTCTAGCACCGAGACAAAAACAAGCAGTTAACCCTTACAGTGTGTGGGGGTAGTCCCACTTCAAGGGTTAATAAAAGTTGCTCTGAGTTCTTCTTTATGTGTATTTTGCAAGCAAACTTTTTGTGAAGCTGGGCAATCTTCAGGAAAAATTCTAATTTACACGCTACACTGGGTGTGTAAATGATAATTAAAACCCTGTATGTTATGTGTGGAGGGCCACTGCAAAGTATAAGTGAATCTTACCTATGTGCTCCTACACCTAACACCAGTCTTCTGGCCACAGCGGGGAGGGAGGGGTGCGATTGGAGAACATCACTGGTTAAGTCGCATCTCTACTCTCTGTTGCACATTCACAAAATGTCTTGTATTTCTTCTAAGAATACAAGGGGTTCTGTAACAGAGAAGGGGGCAGAGATGTGACATCATCTCCCTCCTTCAATCACAGAACACTGACAAGCTGCAAAATTTAACAGCGTTAAATTTTGGAGCCGACAAGCTGCAAGGTACACACGCAGTGAGTCATTTATCATTTTTCCTTGAATATGGCTTTGAAAGAGAACTATGGGGTCAGTGTATTTCCCCATAGTTCTCTTAAGGGTCACAGGAGGACATATACTAGCGTCCTCCCGTGACCCAAAGCGCAGTATGTCGTGAGCTACAGCTCGCGGTATACTGAGACCGCCGCAGCCGGGACGGATCCCGACATTACTGTCGACATCCACCCAGCTGCGTGAGTGACAGCTGGCTCTGCCTATCTAGAGGCAGAGCCAGGTGTACCCTCCCCAGTCCTTTCCGCCAGTCAGCGCTGGAGGATCGGAGCGAGGAGGGGGAAATCCCTGCATGGAGCCGTGAGTGACAGTCACGGCTCTCTGCAGGAAAATGATCGGGAAGTGAGCGAGCAACGATATGTGTTCACCCCCTGATCTATTGAGCCGACGTGTGACAGTTTCATTGTCACATGTCGCCTCGAACCATGAGGTTGAGTGAAAATCGCTCACCTCATAGTTCTCCTTTAAAGCAAGTAAGAAGTGCTTTTCATTGGTCAGCATGGTCATGTGACTTTGGTGACCAATAGCCACTCGTCATTTGCCAGTATTTTGTTCATTGTAAACTGCGGGTTTATGACTGTACACCAGCTGGTGGGGCATCTCCAGGGCCGGCCTTAGGCCTTTAGGCGCCCTGTGCGAGAAAGCTTTACAGCCCCCTCAGTGGCCACACCCCCGTAACCACACCCATTTCCCCCAATATCCGCACCATTTAAAGACTCCTATTTTGTTAAGCCGTAAAAGAAACATATTAAAAAGTATGATAAAAATAAAACTTTTATTCAAAGGTATTAAACTTGTAGGCACAATAGAAGTATTCTTATCAAATAAAACAACAGAAGGTAAACAATAAATGTCAAACGCTGTCATGTCGGATGGCCAGCCGTGAGGGGGAGAGAAGCCGCCCACAGGACGAGCTGTGACGGCCGCACGGCGCCCTTGTTGCCATGGCGCCCTGTGCGGCCGCACAGCTCGCACACCCATAAGGCCGGCCCTGGGCATCTCACACAGGTATGTTCAACAGTGGCCAGGAGAGGTAACAGGGTGGTGTCAGTAAGTTAATTTTTTCAAATTCTCAGCAACTGCAGCCAATCAGCTGGCTGAGAGCGAAGCAACACAAAGAGCAGATTAGTCATGCTGCAGGGCTAGAAGCATGCTGACAGACAGAGTAAAGTGACAGAGGTGAGCTCATCAATCTGCTGCTTCTCCTTTTACTGTCCAGTCACAGGGTGAGGGTGAGGAGGAGGCCTATAAGTGTTACCTAACTGCAGCAGAGAAAAGTCTCCTTCCCTGCCGAAAAGGTGAGGTGTGGCAGAGCTGTGTAAATCTCAGAACTGAATGGATAGAGATACAAATCTTTTGGCAGATAAAACAGCTCATATACATATTGTCTGTGTATATAAATAATTGCCTGAAGTTAGGCTTTAAGCTGCCAGGTCTGTTCTGGGTTAGGGGTGTGATACAACAAGATTTTGATTTTTATCCTTGTTTGATGAGCAGGAAGAGGAGCTGGCAGTCCAAGATCTATTTGCATTTTATGGCTATGAAGCGTCAGACCCCTTACCTGATAATGAAGTAGAGAGTAGTGAATCTGAAAGTACACAGCCATTATTCCAGGTAAGGAGTCCGTATGTAATCATAAAAACACACTGCTTTTAATTAGACATGGAGTGCAAATGCCTTATTATTTTCTTGCACAGGTTCAAGCATCATCTGAAACTGAACAGATGTCTCCCTCTTTGGCTTCTGGAGGGTCTGCTGATCTCTCTCCTCGTTTTGCAGATTGTAAGTATATATAAAGGTTTTCTGTTTTTTTCTTTCGTTGTAAGAGTTATTTATTACATTGCTAAAAAGTATAATTATGCACTAAGCCATACAGTAATGCTTTGATATTATTGTGAAAAATGATTATAGAAAAGGGAAGTGACCCTTCCAAGATAGGAAGTAGGATTGGATATTTTGTTTTGATATTTAGTACTATATAAGTAGAACCTGAAAACAAATACCACTTATTATTTTAGATCATATTTTTTAAAGCCCAATTAAACTCTCTTAATGTACTACTGTAATGCAGTCAGGCTGCATATACAGTAATGAATGGCTCTCCCTTTTTTTAATCTGCTTAACCCTATGCTGACAGCATTAGGAGAGTCAGACTGCTGTTCTCACACACAAGCAGAAGCCTAGTTTACTGATATTTTTCCACCTAAACACCGCTCTAATTAACCACACTGCTTAGGGAGCCAGAGAGCTGTTGACTAGAGCAGTATTTTGTGGGGCATGCCAGACACTAGGAGAGCTGGGCAGCTTACCTGTGAGAGCAGCAGTTGTCTTTTCTTCTGCCCCCAGCATAGGGTTTTTAACCCTTTTCTGCAGTACTTGGCTCATAAAATTAGGCTTACATTAATACATGAAGAGTGTTCAATTAGGCTTTCAAAAGTAATTAGAATTGGCTGTAACATCAGGCTTGATTTGGGTCTTCAGATTTGACCTAGTGTAATTTCTAATAGTTAAACCTTTAGCAGAAGAAGGAGACTCGGTGTGATTCATACCACCCTATCTCCCTTATCAATGCAGATGTAAAGGTTCTAGCCAAAGATGTAGCCCTTAGATGAAATAGGTTTGTGGGCAAGTTGGTGGGATCAAGTCAATCAGGCTTTATTCCAAGAATAAATCTATAAGACTGAATATTTCATAGGTTATTTACAAACCTAAAATTACCTTATATGGATGAATGTTTGAGTGGTTATATCAATGCGCATACAGTGCTTGATATATTATGGTTACATTTGACTTTGGGCCTAAATGTATCCAATGGCTAGAAATATTCTTCACAGCACTCAAACGAGAATTAGTCAACAACTCTATATCAGACTTCTTTTCAATCTTTTGGGGGAACCAACAGGGTTGTCCCCTCTCACCTACTCTCTTTGAATTTGCTTTAGAGCCTCAGATGATTATGTTAGGATCCTCTTCATCCATTAAAGGTTTGAAAATAAAGTCGCTAGAGGAATGTGTTTCCCTCTATGCTGATAACACATTGATTTACCTAGAACACCCTAACCTATCTCTTCTTCATCTCCTGAAAGAGTGTACTCAGGTTTTACACTCATTTGGTAGAATTCTCTACTTATTCCCCTTGATCCTGAGCAGTGGCGTAACAACCGGGGGGGCAGGGGGGGCACTTGCCCCGGGCACAGGACTGAGGGGGGGTGCCGTCAAACCTTTGCTGTTCCAAGGTGTGTCTCTTAGACCTGTTTGAGAAACTACAGATCTCTCACCACTCTAATAAATTAACTAAGGTCACTACACTTTATGCCCAAAAAACATAATGATTACATGGAAGCATGAATAAATAGATAAACCTGGTCAATTCAGCTCTCCCTCTCTATCAACTTACATACATGATAGGGGCTCCTGATAACATTTGGGATCCATGGTCTAATTTATCACTTACAGTATCATCCTGGATGGCTAGAACTAGGAGACTAAATTATTCATCTGATTTATTTATTTTTTTAATATGTACATTACTTGCTCAGCTTGAACTAACCACAATTGCTGTTAACGCCACTCTGTAATTAACAATGAAGGACATACGATTGTATTATCTGTTATAGTTTATTGTATGTATGTATGCATTTGCTTAACATGAACAAAATTCAATAAAAAGCTTATTAAAAAAATTTGAGAAAGAAGCGATAATCCTGCCAAACTCTTTTGCAAGATGTAAACTCATTAGAGCTCAAACATAAACCAAGAACAATCTCTAGAGAATTGCAGGCCTCTCCATCTTCAGGACTAAGCACTGCTTCTTTATGAATGCACTGAGAAGTTGATTTCAATCTTTGAGTCTGCAGCTTTTATTAAATGTATCTCTGAAAAGTAAAGGGTAACATGTAATAAATATAAAGTAAGTAATATCCCAATTGACCTGCAAAAGTGGAAATACACTTTAGGCTAGGTTCACATATCAGCGGACCGCTCGATTGCTGTGTGGCCCCATTGACTTCAATGGAGTTATATCCGCGTGGCAATCGCTGAAAAAAAGTACAAGTACCGTGATCGTGTGTGATTGCATGGGCGGTATCATGACGGGAAACCTCACAAATTGCCTGGCGTGACTGGGGTGCCATTAGAAAATAATGGCACCACCAACGCTTTCAGTGGTGGTGTGTGATTCCGTGAATGTGCGGCCATCATCGCGGTTTTGTGCACGATCGCCCTAGTGTGAACCTAGCCTTAAACTTTTTTGAATGGATAGTGTAGGTAGTAGAGATAGCTACACTATCCATACATAAGTTTAGCGTGGATAGAGGAGTGAAGTGGATGCAGACTGAACAAGAAAATAAATCTACAGGTCTATGGTTAGCCTTTGTTAAGATTAGATAAGTCAAATTAGCTGTTGCAGTTTTTACAAAGAATGCATCAGTTATTTTAATTTTAAAATAAACAGAAGTGGTGTAGTATACCTTATTTGTTCTGGTAATTCACTTCAAAAGTGAGGCATTGCACTAATGTTTTTGTAACTATTAGCTAAAAAATTAATATGCGCTGCACTCTATTATAATTTAAAAAATGTCTTCAGATAAAACTTCATAGTACTATGAATAATACCACATGAAGAAAGACAGGCGAGACCTGCAGTATAGAACACACAGTGAGATCTGCACTAGTGAGATTTGCACACCAGCATACAGCTCATTCCCAGTATTTATGGCGCCAATGAGATCAGCACACAGCACATTCCCTAGTATCTATGTCATCATTTAGATCTGCACTGTAGAGCTCTTAGCCCACTTCCCAGTGTTTATGCCATCTACAGGTTTCTGATCACTTGTGTCCACCTGCTGTGCCAGTGTGTCTGCAGCTTAGAACTAATTCATGCCTCTCTATTACATGCATTGCCTCATGTCTCCATTACAAATATTAGGCTCTTTTTCTGGTGTTTTATCCTTGATGCCATGCCGTATTCACCCCCAAACTCTCGGCAGAACAATGAAAAGGCCCTCCCACCCCCTCATCCCTCAGTTTAGATTGTGCTTCTTACTGTCCAGGAGCACAATGTTTATTGTTTTTGTGCTGATCAGATGGCTGCTGGGTCAGCAGTCCCCCCTTCTTGATACAGATCTGCCTGGTATGCCTTGCCTTGGCCTTCTGCTTTGATCAGAAGGTTCCCCTTTTTCCTTCCAGTATCTGGGCCCCTGTGTACATTGACTCCTGAAGCCCCCTGGCTGGTGAGCCCTGTCCTCCTTCTCCCCTTCTTAGGGGTTTTAAGAGGGGTCTGCGGTGGCTGGGGCATCAGAGAGTCACAGTCCTTGTGGCTTCTTGGGGGAAGGAGCCATAGGAGCTGCATGTGGCCCAGGCCTTGATCTGGGATAGTGCAATGTCGCATCTGGTGGCCCAGGATGACGTACTTCTGGTCACGCCCGGACAAGAATGCACAGTATTAGAGATTGCCGCTGCCATCCATATTCGGTTGATGGTTCTGTCACATACCTGGTAGGAGACCGGTGGATGAGGAGGTCTCTCTTGCGTCTCGTGTCCTGCACCCCCTGGAGGTGGAGACAGAGCATGGGAGGACATTGAGAAGCACGAGTGCCAATAAGGAGACCGGTCACCATGCTGGAGATGTCCTGAAGCAGAGTAGTCAACGTGGCCGAGGTCAAACCGGGCGGGCAGACAGATTCGTGGAGCAGGAGTGTGTTCAAGGAAGCCAAGGTCAGAACTAGCTGGGCAACGAGGTACAAAAACAACAGGCAAAGGAGAGTCCAGGAAACAGGTCGAGGTCAGAGGGTAGGCAGCAAACAGAGCGAGTCAAAGGATCCGGGTCAAGAACAAGGCAACAGGCAATCCAACAGGGTAACTGGTTCACAAGGGTACTAGCTGCAGACCGTCCGCAATGTAGCAAAAGGAAGGCTTGTTTATATAGGGCAATCCATTAGACCAAGGTGTCACTTCCTGTGCATTGGCCGTGTGCGCATCTTTCCACGCACTTCCGGTTGCATGCGCACAAATGCAGGTTTTCCAGTCATTCGGATGTACGTTTTCCCGCATGCGCAGCTGCCATCTTTTCCTTACATGCCCCACCCTAACGGGCAACCTCCGCATGCCCACTTGAGTACACTTTTCAGAATGGTTCCGGAAAAGTCTTTGAATAAGTTTGGGTGCATGTATATTGGACTTGGGTTCCCAAGAATTTTCCTCATAGCCGTAGCCCTTCCATTTATTAAATATTGAAGGCGACTTCCTCTTTTCCTGCAGTCCATGATTGCTTCCACTTCATACTCTTCCACCCTGTCAATAATAGAAGGGGCCAGGGTACCAGGATCACGGTCAGGAAAAGGGTTCAACACATCCTGTTTGAGCAAAGAGACATGTAATACTGGGTAGCTTCTGTAAGATTTAGGAAGGTAAAAATGAAGGGTGAAAAACAAAGTTTGCGCAGAGTGGTGACTGATCCCAGAGTGCACAAAATTGTTGTATCAAACTCTGCAAATGGGAGAAGGGAAGCCCAATCATCCTGGGAATAAGAAGTAAAGCAGCGGAGGTACTGTTCCAGAGTTTGATTAGTGCGCTCTGTCTGACCATTTGTTTGGGGATAGTAGGTAGATGAAAAGCCGGTTCTCTATCACCAGGGTTTTGCACAGCTCCCTCCAAAATTTGGATGCAAACTAAATACCCCGGTCCGATACTATAGTGCCAGGAACACCGTGGAGCTGCACTACCTCACGGAGGAAGGCTTGAGCGGTTTCTGAAGCAGATGGGGTGCCAATCATCTGGAT